GCCTTCCTGGAACAATTCAGGCCAGCATGAGAGGCCCAAGTAACAATTCCTCCCTACTTGGAACATCAACATACCCACATATGAAAAGAGATGCCTGTTTGATCTGAATAGCCAGAACACTGGGACAAGAGTGAGGCTATGAGGTAGATAGCTTTCCTGCTGGCATGGCAGGGGAGCTGAGGTAGCTCCCACCCCTTACCCTAATAAATCTTCATCACATCTAATTGAGAGCTCCCCCAACTACCATTATCAAAGGTAGGACCTATGCCCACCATTTAGTATTACATCTACTCACCTACCTTAGCTACAACTGGTACCTACCAAAGGATACCTCGCTATTGGCCTGAAGCTGGATCAACTCAGTAAATAAAATACTAGGAAAAATTAAACTATATACCACATCAGAATGAGATAAGCTTCAAGAGATTCCTATCATGCCAAACCCATAGGAGACAGTGAACTTGCCCACACATCAAGTACACAACTACTACAATCAGCATCTCAAAAAGCCAGTATACAAAGATGCTTTTTAACTAAGGAAATCATGTGGCAGCCTCTCCCCTAAAAGCACCAAGAATCAAATAAGGCTATAATAAACATCAAAATCAGATCCTTGAAAGGGGGAAAAAAAATAAATTTAAAAAACACAATCCAATCAAAAATAAATTCAGCAACAATTTTTCTGGTTATATAACAAAACAAGGTTCTATAACAACCTATAAAAGATCACACTAGATCCCAGGCAATGGATACAAATCAAAATGAACTCTCCGAAATGCCAGATCAAGAATTCAGAAGGTTGATTTTTAAACTATTCAAGTAGACACCAGAGAAAGGTGAAAACAACCTAAAGCACTTTTTTAAAATCCATGATCTAAATGAAAAAATTTCCAGAGAAATAGATATCATAAAGAAAAAAATGATCAAAACTTCTAAAAATGAAGACACATTTAGGGTAATACAAAAAGCAGTGGAAAGTTTCAGCAATAGACTAAACAAGTAGAAGAAAGAATTTTAGAGCTTGAAGACAAAGCTTTTGAATTAACCCAATCAGACAAAGGAAAGGAAATTAAAAAAAAAAAAAAAAAAAAAAACGAATTCTCCAAGAAATAAAGGATTATGTAAAATGGCCCAACCTAAGAGCAATTGGTGTGCCTGAGGAAGAAGTGAAGTCTAAAAGTTTGGAAAACTTATTTGAAGAAATTATTGAGGAAAACTTCTCCAACCTTGCTAGAGACCTAGATATCCAAATACAAGAAGCTCAAAGAACTTTTGTGAAATTCATTGCAAAAAGACCAAGGCACATAGTCATCAGGCTATGTACTGTCAAGACAAATGAAAGAATGTTGAGAGCTTATCAGAGAAAAGCATCAAGTAATCTACAAAGGAAAACCCATCAGACTAACAGCAGAAACCTTACATGCCAGAGGGCTTGGAGTCCTATCTTTAGCCTCCTGAAACAAAAGAACTGTCAGCCAAGAATTTTCTATCCAGCCAAACTAAGCTTCATAAATGGAGAGACAAACAAATGCTTAGAGAATTTGTCACTACCAAACCAGCAAACAAAACGCTAAAACAAGTTCTAAATCTTGAAACAAAAACTTGATATATACCAAAATAGAACCTCCTCCACATAAACCTCACAGGGTCTGTAAAACAATAACACAATGAAAGAAAAGTACCTAGGTAAGAGCTAACATGATGAATAGAACAGTATTTCACATATTAATAGTAACAGCCTAAATTCTCCATTAAATGATACAAAACGGCAGAATGGGTAAAACCACCAACCAAGTATCTGCTGTCTTCAACACATAAGGACTCTCACATAAACTTCAGGTAAAGAGGCGAAGATGTTGCATGCTAACCAAATGGAAACCCAAAGTGGGCAGGAGTAGCGATTATTATACCAGAAAAAGGGATACATGATAGATGCTGCTACTTTATTTAAGATTATCAGTTAAGACTTCTTTGAGGAAGTGATGTTTGCTACAGACCTCAGTAAAGAGTGGAAACAGGCTGGGCACAGTGGCTCACACCTGTAATCCCAGCACTTTGGGAGGCTGAGGTGAGTATATCACCTGAGGTCAGCAGTTCGAGACAAGCCTGGCCAACCTGGTGAAACCCCATCTCTACTAACAATGCAAAAAATTAGCTGGGCTTGGTGGCGGGTGCCTGTAATTCCAGCTACATGAGAAGCTGAGGCAGGAGAATCGCTAGTAACCAGAGGTTGCAGTGAGCCAAGACTGTGCTGCCATTGCACTCCAGCCTGGGCAACAAGCACAAAGCTCCACCTAAAAAAAAAAAAAAAAAAGTGGAAATAAGCAGTTTGAGATGTGGAAAGAGTGGTCAAGGCAGAGGAAGAACAAGTGGGCCATTTTCAATATATTTATTTGCACAGCCTTTTATAATCATTCCTTTGAATAAACATATACTTTGTATTAGTAATATGCCACGCAGATTGCTAAGAACAAGACAGATACCATCCCCGCCTTCACAGAGCTCTCACAAGCCTAGCAGAGGATTTTGACATTTCACAAATGACTTCAAGCAATTATTCAATTCTAAGTCTGATGCTAGGGAGAGAAAAAAAAAAAAAAAACAGGCACTAAGAGAACACAGAATGGGTCAGCCTAACCTGGTGTGGCCAGACAGAAAACATTCCTTGAATAAATAATAATTATAGAATAACTGAGTAAGTAGCAAGGTAGGAAGTAATGTTCCAGATAGTGGGAATCTTGAATTTAAAGAACTAAAACGAAGTGAGCATGGCTAGAGTATATAGAAGAGGGCAAATGAGATAAGCCAGAAGAAACAGGGAGAAGAAACAATCCATCCAATCAGCATACAGAATAGCAATTAGACCTCTGTGACCTTCCAGCACCATTTGAAGAGGAAGAGTTACCTATAACCTAAAACTGCACACCTCCTTTTATTTTACCTCATTCTACAATGGCCATGGATCCGCTTGCAATGGGTTTCTTCTGACTCAACTTCATATCACACCTTGATTACAGTTGCCAGATATGTGCTTGTGATGGTTAATATTAGGTGTTAACTTGATTAAAGGATGCCTAGATAGATGGTACTGGTTCTCATTGTGTCTGTGAGGGTGTTGCCAGAGGAGACACATTTCAGTCGGTGGACTGGGAGAGGAAAATCCACCCTCAAAGTAGATGGAACCATTCAACTGGTTGCCAGCACAGCTAGAACAAAGCAGACAGAAGAAGGTGGGATAAGTTGGCTTGCTGAGTCTTCTAGCTATCATCTTTCTCCTGTGCTGGATGCTTATTACTATTCCTTCTGCCCTTGGACATCAGACAACAGGCTCTTTAGCATCTGGACTCTTGGATTTACACCAGAGGTTTGCTGGGGGCTCTCAGGCCTTCAGCCACAGACTGAAGGCTGTACTTCTCAACTTCTCTACCTTTGAGGCTTTTGGACTCACATTGAACCACTACCAGCTTCTTTCTTCCCCAGCTTGCAGACGACCTATCGTGGGACTTCACCTTGTAACTCTGTGAGCCAATTCTTCCTGATAAGTTATCTTTCATATATTCATACATCCTATTTGTTTTGTTCCTCTGGAGAACCCTAATGCACTGCTCAGCTCTCAAATGGTATACATTATTATGTATTTTCTGCATGCATTCCTCAAAAGTGACAAATTCAAAGTCCTCTAATCACATCTACTAGTCTATCTGCATCTGTCTCCACCTACTCTTTCCTCCTGCCGCTATGGATAAGCTATGCATATTCGCAGCCAAGGTCAACTTCAATACCACTAATGCAGTATGTCCCATCCACTCTCACTTTACCACTTTCTTCTCACTGCTGAATCACCCCTATCAACGTGACAATGTGCTGTTTTATCATCCATCGGGGAAAAAAAAATCAGTCTTAATCTGTAACTCTTCAGCTAACCCATCCCATTCCTCTATTCAATATGTATAAAAGTTCCTCCAAAAATCAGCCTTTCTATTCTTAGATCAATTCCAACAAGATTTTCAAATCCACCACTCCCGTCAAACACTGGTAATCTCACATTGGGAATGTTTATATACAGTTCTCAGTCCTCACTTTTTAGAACTCCTAGGAAACATTTAACACAGTTGCTCAATCAGAAAGTACTTTCTTCATTAGGTTTCCAGGATACTACCCTCTAATCCTTATGGTCACTCTTCTATCCCCTTACCTAATTCTTCCTCACTCCTATAGCAAGTTGACTAAAGCACTAGATTAGTTGCTCTAACTTATCTCACTGGGAAATTTCTGACAAGTCCCATAACTGATATTCAATAACTATTTACTCAAATGTGCAAACACATAACAGTAAAACTGCAAGTATAGCAGTATTTCCAAAACATAAAAGCCAGAAGCAATCCATTATTAATGAAATGACTTGATTTTTAAGTTATTTTTAACTAACATTTTAATTAACAAAATGTCTAAGGAGCTGTATAGAAAACTAACAGGTCTGAGATAGCTCTCCTTAAAAAGACTGGCTTGTAAGACAGGCATCTGAGAATTAATAATGGCAATTCACTGTGCCTGCCTAGATCGTTGGTATCAACAATATGGTTTATGTTCAACACCTACATTCCTTCTGGAAATCTGGAATTTTTGTATGTGCCAAACAGAATGTCCACATAACCAATCCAACGCCCTGGGCACTGTGCCTCTAATGGGCCTACCTGGGCAGAAATGTCACAAACAATTTGCTGCATGTTCATTGCTGGAAGGAATGTATGCTTTGCATGATTCTTTAGGAGAGGCAGGGAAGAGACCATATGGAAGCCTGCAAATGGATTCCTCAAGATTCTGCCTGCATCCCTCTCTTCTGATCCAGCTATATTGACCTCAATACTTCACTGTACTAAGTCTTAGCCTTGAGTATAACTATAAGCTCAGTCCCACGACTTCTGGAAATTCTCTAAATGTGAAGGTTGTTTGGGGAACCCTATGTAACAGCAGCTTATTCAAAAAGCCCAGATTCTTACCTGCTGATATGCTTCATAAATCACGTCAAATAGAAAAGCCTGAGGCATTTCACTTGCTCGGTGTCTTGCACGTTCTAGCGAGTGGTCTAAGCAACCATCAGCAGATGGGCTAATGACAGTAGATACAAGAGGTCGAATGGCTCCTGCTGCCTAAACAACAAAGAGGCAAAGAATATATATCACCTACAAGCTATTTTAAAGTGAAATTCTGAATTCAGTATCTTACTTTTGAAAGCAGATCTTATTCATACCTTACACAAGCTACTTTAAGAAAACATTGGAATTAGTGTGATTGGTTCACAAATGGTCACTTCAGGCAAAAAAAAAGAAGTCAATTTTGTAGTATTACAGTTTCGTATATTCAGGTGAAAGTTGTCTTCATTATAGGTACAAAATCCTTCTGATCACAGGCCATCAAGGTCAACACTAAAAAAAGATGCTAAGATCCAACTGGGTATTGCCTGAAGATGAAGGAAGCAAAGAAAGACTATCATGAAATAACTGATATGGATTGCAAACATTTATTAGTATACCCTCAGGAGATTTATATATTAGCTACGTAAGGAAATAAACAAGTTATCCAAGACCCTCTAGATCAGACTCAACAACCCAAACAATAAATTTGTGTCTTGCTCTAATTCATGAGAAAAAACAGTTCCCTTCAAACACAGTCTCCATGCAATGCTTCCTCAGGCAATACCCATTGACTTCAATTGCTGTGATGAAAGCTCTCTCATTAATAGTTGCATCTAAACTTTAGAGGAAGAGACATTTCATGTCTGACAATTTTTTCATTTATCTTTAATGGAGTCCCATTGTAATATACTTTTGAAGGCTATTACCAAAACAACTGCCTTAGTGAAACTTCTTTAAAATACAGTTCAATGGTGGGCAGTTAACCAAACCTTATATTGACTCCAAAACATCCTTTCTTCTACACAATTGCTACATGAGGAATGCAGCATATGAAATTAATACACAAATAAAACAAGTGCCTTCTTGAGACCAACATCTGAACAAGATAGATATTCCACACATTGGTTTGCAAAAGCCAAGGGACTGGCTGAAAATCAAAGCTAATATATGAACCGACTAGACAGTTTATAAATTGTGTCGCCACTTCCAGTGCCTCAAGTAGAAATTTGTAAACTAAACATAAAAGCAAAAATGAGGACAGAGTCAGGGTGACAAAGAGGAAGTAGGTGAAGGGTAGGTTAGGAGCAAACTCAACTGGTCAAGCCCAATACCTATCAATAGGGGTTAGAAGATAAGACAGGAAGGAAATGCATGTACACACAAACATGTATGTTGTTTTAAGACAAAAAGACTCCACTGCGGCTACATATAGGTATCTTTCAATTCTATACCAGGTCATTAAAAAATAAGAAAACATGAGATATCCAAAATGTCAATTCAAGGGGCTCTGCAGACTCTCTCCTCTTTGAGATGAGTGAAAGGTATTTTAAGAACAATTAAAAGCCTCTGAAAATTGTTCTAAGGACATTCAACAAATGAAGAAACATTTAATTGAGAAAATCTACTCAATTTTGAAAGAACAGACTCGGTGGTACTCAAGCCATGACCCATTTCTTCTTCTATCCCCCTGTCAGCTCAATGGATGCTCTACTCAGAGTAGGTATGGCTAAAATAATAGGGACCCCTCACCCCAAGTTCCCAGTGTAAAAGGGAAGACTGCCAGCATTTCCTATGCCCCTCAGCACTATGGCAAAGAGACTAAAATCTGTGCAAGTATGGTTGAGGCCCACCTCCTTCATATAGTTCCTACCCATGCCTGAGAATATTGGTGCCCTGATCATTCTTCTTCCAGCTCACAGATATGACAGTTTTCATAACAGGGGAAATAGAAGACCAGAGTCTTCTACTGGCCCCACGTAGATCACAGAGTAGGGATTTTACTCCAAGAAAATAGTCCACTGTGCCCACCCACAGTTTCAGAGTAGGGATGTGGTAATTTTTCACAAGGAGAAGACAAAGGATTTGAGAGTAGAGAGCTATGAAGGTCTCCTTAAGGGAACTCACGTTATTTGGAAATTAAACATAAGTGTACTCTCAAAAAAAAAATCATCATGGTAAGCAATAAAAAGGATGCTGGAGATACATCAGTGCAAACAGCTAAACTGTAAGACAGCCACTTTATGAGTGAAAGCCAGGGGAAAACACAGCTAACACAAAAGCTCTCCTGAGATTAGGAACAAACCTCGAATCTGGCCTCAAAAACTACCCCTGCAAAGGGGCTAGAATTTAACTGAGACTATGGAGGGATATATGCCCAAGGCATTATCAAAAATAAAGGTAACCAATTAGCATGCAATGAGTGGAGCTCAACGGCAATTATATCAAAAGCAGACAACATAACAGAGGTCAAGGAAACAGACGGTCCAAGAGAGCCCTGCTGAAACCACTTTCATTCCAAGAGGACTATACAGTACTCAAGTGTCCAGCCTCTGAAAACCAACATCGGAAACTTTTCCCTGTGAAAGAAAAAGACTTTACTGAAATAGACCAACCAAGTCATAAATAGGCAAGAAAGACATGCATCCAAACAGGAAAGTGACAGCCTACAGGGATGGGGTGGGAGGGGAAGGGCAGGCAACAGGAACTGCCAATGAGAAGGCCCCACACATATAACAAACTTAGCAGATAAAGACCTCAAATCAGAATCAGCTATTATAAATATGTTCAAAGAACCAGAGGAAATTACACTTAAAGTAGTAAAGCAAGTAGGCAATATCACTAATGTTAAGCCATTTAAAAAAATAGAAATTCTGGAGTTGAAAACTAACTTTAATGAACGTTTATAAAAAAGCAGAGACAGGTTTGAACTGGAGAGGAATCAATAAACTTACGCTTAGATCAACAGAAGTAATACAATTCCAAGAAGAGAGGAAAAAAAGGAAGAAGAAAGATGAACAGAGTCTCAGAATAAAGGACCCCATTAAGTACATAACAATTTTGTATTGGTAGTACCAAAAGTAAAGAGGAGAAAGCAGCAGGAAAAAAAAATTTCAAGAAAATGACTGGTAACCTTCCCAAAATAAAGAAAAAATTAGTCTTCAAGAAGCTCAATGAACTCCAAATAGAAAAATCAGAAAGAAATCCACATCTAGACACATCATAGTAAAAGTGCTGAAAGCCAAAGTCAAGGAAAAAAATCCCAAAAGCAGCTTGAGAAAAAAGATTAGCCAGAGAACATCAGTAAGATTAACAAGTGACTTATCAGAAACAATTAAGTTAGAAGGTAGCGGGGTAATAGTCACTACTATAAGGAAAAATATCTCCTATCCAGCAAAACCAGTATTTCATACATGAAAGCAAAATGAAAACAATTCCACAGAAAAACAGAATTCTTTGCTAGCAGATTCATTTTCCAAAACCAAAAATCAACAAATGTTCAGCCTGAAGGAAATCAACCTAATACATCAATTCTAATTCACATTAAAAAACAAAGTGTACCAGTAACGATAATTTAATTATAAAAGACAGTATAATGTATATTTCTCTATATATATTGTTTTTAAAAGGAATTACAAAACAGAAGAGTTTCCTGAATCACCTTACAAAACCTGCAACAGGGGTGTGGCCTATCTGTTTAGCTGCCATATGCTCAAACCCTTTACAGGATGGGGAGCACCCAAATGGGCAGATACAGTAGCTAGAGTGAGTGCTTTTGGGCTCCAGCCCCACAGTAGCATCTAGGGATGGGTACTTATGACTCCCAAAGCCCCAGTGGGAATGTTACAGTGTCCTTTAGCTCTGCCATCTGCTGGGAGCTTAAGTATTAACCAACTTAGTGCTCTCTTGGTACCCAGGTCCTTGTCTAGCATTCAGGAAGAATCAGATCATACACGGACCTGAAGGATGTTGAATGCAGGGGTTTTATTTATTGGTGGAGGTGGCTCTCCCTAGGATGGATGGGGAGATAAAAAGGGGAAGGAGTGGGAAGATGACCTTCCTCTGGAGTTGCCTGTCCAGCAGTCAATCTCCTCTCTGACCATCCCTAGCTGAACTCCTCTTAACATTCAGCTGCTCCTTCTCTTCTCTCCTCCTCTGCAGCACCATTCTGCCACTCTGCTGCTCTTTTGTCTGTCTGATCTTCTGCTCATGGAGCCTGGGGTTTGGGGCTTACATGGGTACAGGATGGGAGTGAGGACAAAAGGCAACATTTGGGTGTGCAAACAGGAAAATCTGTTCCCATTTAGGACCATGGGTTTCCAAGCTTGAGGATAGTGCCTTTGTCATCAAACTGCCTTCTACCCAGTATTTCCCCGACTCCTGTCTGTGTAACAATAGATACATAGTTAACTGATATATCTATAACATATTGAACTATGTTTATCTGACAAAAAAGCAAAAAGGAGGTGGACAGGGATAAAAGTGTACTGGATTAAAGAAATGACAGCAGATGGCAACTTGCATCCACAGTAACAAATTAACTAAAAATGACAGGCAAACTAGTTAATACAATAAACTCTATAAATACATACTTGCAGCTGGATACAGAGGCCCATACCTGCAATCCCAGCACTTTGGGAAGCAGAGGCAGGTGGATCACTTGCAGTAAGGAGTTTGAGACCAACCTGGCCAACATGGAGAAACCCTAACTCTACTAAAAATACAAAAATTAGCAGGGTGTGGTGATGAATGCCTGTAGTCCCAGCTACTTGTAAAGCTGAGGCAGGAGAATTGCTTGAACTTAGGAGGTAGAGGTTACAGTGAGCTGAGACTATGCCATTGCACTCCAGCCTGGCTGTCTCAAAAAAAATTAAAAATTAAATTAAAACACACACACACACACACCCGCTCACCTTTCAGCTTCTGCAGATAGCAAATATAAAGTAATAATTATCAGACTGGTGTAAAAGTAACTGCCATTTTTGCCATTACTTTCAATGAAAAAAGATATAATAATGGATTGTAGGGTTTCTTACATATAATATGTAAGCCATGTAGAGTAATTTTTAAATATCTCACTGGAATTAAGGTAGTAAATTCTGAAGTAAATAAATGTTTGCATGTATACTGTAGGCCTAGAGCAACCACTAAAAATAAAACTCAAAAAAAAATAAAAAAATTGAAGTATTACAATAAAATATTCACTGACTATAAAAGAAGACAATAAGAGAGGTATT